ACTTTCTTTTTTAAGCAAACGATCTCGATCTTCATTATTTATTAAAGTATTAATATTAGTTCTTGTAATTTTATCAATAGAATTAACAATATTAATTTTGGTCCATTTGTCCCTGGGTGCAGGATGATCTCATAATATTTTGTCAATAGTAGACTCATACAATTATGATGCGTTTGAAATAGTTCTTAAATTTGTATTTATAATTTTCGCCGAAATCGTTATGTGAACAATGAATATTCATAGGTATTATATCCATTAAACATTGATAAATACAAATAAATACATACTTCGTTTGCCCGTTCTTAAATACGTTGTTAATATCTACTCCTAAATTTTTTGTTGTACACTAATAGTATTGCATACAAGTATATTTTGAGTTATTAATAATAATATTAATTATTTTAAGTTTACAATTTGCCTGACCAGTGATCGTGTAGTTCTCCTTATAATATGAATAGATTATAGATATGTGCATGTTAACCAAAATATTAACGAACTTAAAAAAAAAAAAAATAACAGACAGAGGGTGAGTGAAAACATGGGTGACTACACATAAGTCGGTTTTAAGAAAAATACTGAATAAACATGCGCAATAGACGTCTTCCTCGCCAGTAATTATGTTAATGAATTAATGTATTGGAAACATTAAAATCCAAGGTATGAAAAAAAAAACTCTAAACTACTACCGAAAAGTTATTTAAAAAAAAAAAAAAAAACAACTAACGTCGCTGTAATTTTTTTCGATTGACAGAATAATTGTAATCCATTAATAAAACTGACACTTCAATGATTATTCGCCTGTCTATTAGTAAATGCGCACGGATCGAGAGAGAAATATTATGCGTAATTTACTATAAGGTATTCGTCTACTTTGGCAACCGCCGGTTGTTGGTGATCCGCATTTTAACGTTTAAACTGTTCAACTGTTTTACACACCGCGCGTTACACTTTTGGCCGTTTGGTCGCGTCCGGGACACTAGAAATTAAACATTTGTTTCGCACCAGTGTTTTTCAAATGCGTTTTGCTCGTCGGCTCACTGAAACCGCGAGATCCGTACGCCCCGATCGTGCCGCGTTTTTCCGCAGCTCATTCGCGGTTCGTCTGCCGTCGCCAATAGCGCATTAAGTGTAAATCGGGAAACGATACGCCACACCACAGGATCGCGGTGGTCGCCTACACGCGAAAACGTGAAATCCAAGTCGCTGACGACGCGTGTCTCGGAATAAAATATCAGTTGTTGAAACGCAGTCGGTCGCGCCGTAACTATTTCGACTAGGCAACTCGTGTGTTTCCGCGTGGCCGAGTGGCGTTGCGATTTTTGTCGCTGCACAGTGTTCCCCCCCCTCCCCCCGCATTATTTGACAAAGTGTAATTTGTCGGTGGTTACAGTTGCGGCAGTAGTTTCAGTCATTGCAACATGTTGATAGCGACTTGTATTGGAGTGAACGCGGTCCAAACGGTGTGTAAAAATAAATGTTGCGCCGGTGCGAGTACGCGCGACCGACGCAACGCGGGTAGAGAGCGCTCGTTAGCGCGGGACCGACGCAACGCGGATAGGGATTGGTGCGTCGGCGGACGGACGGAGGGCCGCGGTTCGTCGGTGAAAATCGAAAACGAAAACCAAGGCCTTACCTTAACATAGGATTCGGGGCCACTGACCGTATTATTAAAACCCATAGACTGTCTTGAACTCGTTATTAATTACGTTAAAATGTCATTGTTGTGCGGGCAGCCACATTGCCAGTGGTCGCCTACCGGAGTTACCAAGTGATAAACACAATCAAAAAGTTGGTTTTTTTTCCCGTCTCGAGAGCTTAAGATGAATCCATTATTTTTTCGGCCCTTTTTACTCGCTCACACTTTATTTTTATCATTTATGTGAGAAACGTTCGATTCCGTTTGTAATATACTCTCACAACCATATTTCAAACATTTGTTTCTTTATTAAAAATTGTGCTCGTTTACTACACCGTAGTATAATAGTTTCTCGTACGCGAAGTGCTTGAAAAGAACCCTGGACCATCGAGACAAGTATTCATTGCAATGTCTTCGGAGTCTTAATTCAGGTTTTATGATAATTCGTCTAGTATTAAGTTATTATACATTCAGTATTTATCACATGGCATAGATACCTAGTAAATGTAAAAAGCTGTAAAAATATTATTCTATAATTTTAGTATATCTAGCTAAATACGACTATGGACAGGGGCGGTCAAACGGGGGTGAGAGGGACGTATCATAATATTATGACATTTTCTTAAATATTTATAATGTACACAGAATGGTTTTATACGCATACTCAATGCTCACTCAATTTTTGTAGTTAAATTAAGCATAAATTCAAATTCTGATTTGGAATATTTAGGCTTTTCACAACATATTTTGACATTAACAACTTTGGTTTTTCTAATGAAAACCTACATGTGGTATTACAAATTTTCAATCGGATGATTTATCTGAAAATGTTATCTTATTTTAATCGAAATGAGTTATTCTACTTTTAATACTAAACAATTATAAGAACTGCACAATTAAAAACAGGACATTTTCTATACTTATACATAAATCAGTTAGTATTCAATGCCTATAAGACTATTAACCTTAATATTTAAAGCAAAATAGCTCAGAAATATTTTATTAAAATTTCGATTGGAATAAAAATCAATAATTAGCATAATTTATATCAAAACATATTATACGTCCAGGATATTTTTTAAAATTACTCCACAACATTTCATGTTTTATCCAAAAATCCTTAATCTGAGTATGCAAAAAATATTCTTGTTCACTGCACTTAAAAATTCCAAAAAATAGGATTTGAAATTATGCATAATTCAACCATACAAATAGGGTGAGCATGCCTAAAAAATCCCCCTGTATGTTATATTATTCCTGCATAGTTATAAAAAAAAATTATGTAAACAATAATAATAGGTTCTTAAACCTTAGACTCTTAAAAATGTTTCTTATGTTCCCCCTCCATGACAAAATCATTTGACTACCACTGGCTATAGGCTATAGCCTACTAAAAAAAAAAAATAGAATTATTTGACAAATTAATGTAAAACTAACTTATGTATGGAAGTAAAGCTGCTTTATGAACGATTAAATTTGAATATAAATAGGTTATCTCTAAAAAAATATTTTGAGCTGTTTGATTTTAAAATCTCTATCTTTCATACATATATAAATATATATATATATATATATATATATAAGAAAACATTTAAATTCATAATTTTTGTTTATATTTTGTTGCAGATTTGACATCTGGGCTGAGGTGAGTACATGAAATGATCATTTTAGGTTACTTTTAAGTTTAATGCCCAGTCAAAACGCTAAAATGTATTTTTTTTGATAATAAAAATAATGTACCTACATACCTATTTTATTAAACTTGATAATTAACATAATATAAAAACCCATTTCAACTATTATAAAACTTGTTCCATACTTAAAGTTAAATGTTCCTAACTTTAATCTCAAAAAAAATATAGATAGGTAAGTAACAAATTAAATCTTAATTTTTGAATTTCTTAACATAAATTACACATTAAGAAAAATACATTTTAGAATTATTTATTGTGCGTGAAATCTTTTTCCCGGTTTATTTTTTTTTTGGTTTCTGAAAAATGTGAGTTTTGGTTCTAGCTTACTAATTTATAATATTTAGTAATATTTAGTAATATTTAGTAATTAATTATATTAACAAGAACCATATTACGAATAAGTTATTTAAAAACTAAAATATTAGCACTTGAGCAATGATATAATAAATTATCAATGATAAAAACACACGAGCAAAAAAAAAAAAAAATTGAATTCCATAATATAATAATAAATATTATAAAACGAAAGGAAAGAACAAAGGTATTTTAAGGTCAATTAAACCAAGTACAACATTAATGGGGAATCATTTTATAGATTTATTAATCTGTTTAATCAACTTCCTACTGACAATAAGCTAATTGAAATAATCAGTAGGTAATCTAGTAATATTAAATTTAAACTAATGGTGATAAAGTTGTAAATGCAATCTTTTGATTTATGTTTCGTTACCATTGTTATTTTGGTTATTATAATATCTTAATTTAATTTTTGTTGAAGGTATGCAAATAAAAAAAAAATGTTTAGTAGTATTAATTGTTGTAATATACTTTCTTCTCTAGTTATAAGCCTTGCTTGTGAGTATTAACTTGTATGTAAATATTAAAGTAAATAAATGTAGTGTTGTTGTAAGTTAAAGTGGATTAATAATCATGTTCACTGTCAATTTGTATGGTGGGGCAGCCAAGGTGTTCCAGCTACCTGTGATCGATCATTTTTAAATTAATGAACAGTAACTACTTTACATGTAAATTACAATGGTAATATACTGTTATATAATACACAAATAATTAAAAAAGTGGGTACAACAATCAGATATATCCGTTAAATATGGAGGTATAATACAAATAAAAATTTCTTTTTTTTTCTTACTACAATAACAAGACATTTCCAGATGGTTTTAGTATATACATCTGTGTTGTTGTTCCAAACATTGGTCACACTGAATTTATTCGACTAGTCTATAAGATTTCTTTTTGTATTTTATAATTTATTTTATATACTAAATACTAATAAATATGTTTAAAACCATTTATATAATATAATGTTTTGTTAACATTGATTATTTTTAAGCGCGACAATCAGATATAAATCCACCTTTTAATATAATTTCAGTCCTCCCTGAACATTTTCATTATGAGTAAACATTTGTTATGATAGATGTTTGGTAATAATTTTGAGAGAATAATTTATAATAATTTAGGCCATTATTCAAAAGTTAATAGAAGTATCATAGGATCAACTAATCAATTTAAAATGTGGTAGTCCGAGTTTTATTTTGTGTCTATTAAAATTAAAAACACCAGCTTAATGTGAAATATTGTATTATTGATACACGATAGATTAAGTTAAGTCAAAATAATTTTATTTAAACTTCTTTTACATTAATTTATTGATAAATACATATTTTCACATTAATATTTTAATTTTGCCTTAATTCATTGAATGGATTGATTATATTTTTATTGCAATCATGAACAAATTTGGTAGCAAATTAACACTATACAGTATACCCTATAAAAGATGTAGACAGGTACACAGTAGCTTATATTAAAATTTGCTTCATAATAATAAGCACACCATTCACAATAAACATTTTGATTGAAAAATATATAATTCTGTTACAAAAATGAGCTCAACAATTTCACTATTTTCAAAAATTATTACAGAATAATATTTTGTATACATTTCGATATTTCAGACATTCTTTGTAATAATTTGTTTATATTTTTTAATATTTAATCTATATAATTGATTTAAGTAGCAGAGCAAAACCAAATTTTGTTGTATATGTTAGATCCAAACAGTTTTTCCTTTAATTTAATTTGACTCATTGACTAATTGACTCATAATTCAGCAGTTTATAAACAAAAAATGTAGAATATAAAAAAAAAAAAAACAGTGATTTATTTGTAGGTTGTAACTATAGTAACTAATAGGTAATTTTGGACTTAAACCAATAAAAATGTACTTAGTTATAATTGAACTATTGATGTTATATACATTCAAAAATATACAATTCAAAATTTGAATATTTTATATCAATTTCTTTTATTTATTTAAAAAAAAAAAATAATAATAATAATAAATACATAACAAAGTAATAAATATGATGAGTTGAAAGGAAATTCGAGTTTTATTAATAAAAAAAAGACTAATGATTTTAATTTACACGATACCGAAAATATATTTAAGTGTTTCATTTTCAACAATAATCATACATGTATTTTAAAAACACAAATGAAAATAAAAATTATGTATATAATAGTCACAAGACAGGAACAGGCTTAAAGTATAGCTTAGAACGGAAATAAAAAGTCTATTACACAATGATAATTGTGAAAAACAAGAATCATGAAAATTGAAAATAATTCTGTTCTTGTCTCCAATATATTTTATAGTAACAGTTCAATATATTAAAATATGTAGTCTACAATTTAGTTTTATGTAAGAAAATAGGGGGTTTTTTTTACAATAAGAAAATGAATTATATTTGGTAACATCTAAAAAAATAATGCTTTTCATGTAAAAGGTTCAAGGCACATTTATTTCCCTTAAAATCTATCAAAATTTCACTTAAACGAAAAAAAAAATTGCCAAAACATTAGTATTAAATTAGAATCATTCAGTATTCACTATTCTATTTTAAATCCTTAACCAATTTTGATCAACAGTCAATTTTAAATATCCTGACTAGATCACAAAAAAAAAAAAAATTACAAAAACCTAGTTTATATTTAATTGGAGGAGGAACTATTTGTAAAAAAACGGGTTTAGAGGGGAAAGGGTAAATTTTCAAAATATTGATTCATGGAATGTGGATGTCATTAAGCTCTAGTTTCCCTTACGTGTTGAAAATAGCATCATACCCTTAACTAAAAGAGCGGTCGTTAAGGACGCTGAACTAATATCACATTGGTATCCTTTGTTTTTACAAAAATTAAAAATTAAAAAAAAAAAAAAACAATAATTTAGTTTGCTTAAAGACCTTGTGGACAACAAAATGATGTATAAGGTCAACAAACATGAACCCTAAACGCGCATTTTTAACACAATTTGGTTTGAGTCATAAATTCATTAAAATTAAGTCTTAAAAACTAGTGTTTTAGTTTGAGAATTTGAGAATGACAACCATTGTCATCTCGGATTCTATTTGTGGTCACCCTGTGTCATCTGCAAGGATCGAGTAGCACTTCGATCCAAGTTGGGCAGGACGTAATCTCCTGTCGGGAATACTTGGGCCCCCATCCTTTGGCAAAGCTGATGCGTACTGCATTTGGATCGACAGGACCAATTCGTACACCGTTTGAATAGCGTATCCGATCGCCGTGCGGGTTGCCGGTGAATATGTTCAAACAGTGGCCGGACGGTACGCGAAAAACCAAATAAGAATTGCTCTCCGGATCATCCAACGTCGGGGAATTTACGAACATTGGCCAGTCGCTTAGATTATACGCCCATACGCCGTCTTCTTCTCGACTCAGAACTAGACCTATGAAAAACACAGGCTATTAGTAAATAATAATACATAATAAAATCAAAAACACGGAGGTTGCCGAAGTTTTGTAGTACCTTGTCCGATTTTGGTCCTGTTCCGGAGCACCGACTCTGGGGGGCTCTGTGCGGGTGAGAAATGATGTTGAGTAAGAGCGGCCAACGACAAACCCGTACCAAGTGGAACATTCCAAAAAACGTTTACAGATTTTGTGTCGACCGGAAACAACCTGCCGACTCGTTGCGATAATTCCCAATACGCCACTTTACACCATTCTTGTTCGTTTGGTTTTTCTGGAAAATTGTTTTAAAAAAAAAACACGTATAAAGCAACAAGTTTATAGAAACACGAATTTTTCTTATAAAATAATTTACGACATAAATTATACACAATACATTTATTACCGCACCTAGGTTTAAAGAAAAATTGAATTGATTTTTGTTAAGTATTTAAGTACACGTTATAACAATAATGAAAAATAAATACATAATATATTTATAAGTAGATTTCGTTGTAGTGCAAAGCTACTAAGAAAACGACGAACGGCTATCATTAAATTGTCTATAGCCCTCCCCCCCCCTCCTCCGGTTTCGTTTCACAGCCAATCAAGTGCATTAGCGACATACAGGCGTTTAACCAACGTGCACGTACGAGTATTATACGAGGGGCGACGGTGGTGAAGAGGTACGAGAAAAAAAAAACCTAAACCGAACGAGTGAACCGAAAAAGGGCAAAAATGTAGACGTCGAGGACTATAATATACGCCGTGGTTTCGTGTGATCGTCCCGGACGCGCCGATACGAATCGTACAACAACGACGCCGACGACGACAAAACGTGTGATTTATTCCCGCACACAATAAATGACGGAGAGTTCAACGCGGCACGAGAAAAAAAAAACGATCGATAATGGATTATCGCGAAGACAATAAAACTCTATTGAGATCTGAGGACACCGATGGTCCCGAAATTCTTTAACCGTACGCACGCACGTTTTTTTCTTTCTCTCTCTCTCTCTCTCTCTCCGTCTCTCGTTTCATTCAAAAAAATCAAAACCGTATTTCGACGAATATCCGATCGGTCGTACGGACCCGCTCTTGACGCACTATACCTACCCCGGAGTTATAATAATACTTTTCAAACTACATTATCGTACATTGTAAAATTCCGGAGGAGGGAGCGACGTGATCCGGGAGAACGTCGAGGGATTTTGTAATAGGATACGATATTTTTGTCGAAAAACGGGGAGGACGGGGGAAACGAAGACAAGTGACTATAATAATATTTAAGAACACTGCAAAATATAATGTAGGCATCCGATCGGCGGATACACCTAATCGATCATAATGAAACGTTAGAACGACGGCGTACACGTCGGAAACGGTGACTTTCTAAAAAAAAAAAACAATAATACGTAATACCGACAAAACCAATAAGCCGAACCGCGCGCGCACGACGGCTGTTTTTGGGTACGCGCGCGCGGCATTTCTGACATTCCGGGGCCCCGACGGTCGGTGGCGGCGGCCGATGGGGCGCCGCCCACCACTCGCATTCCACCGAGACGACGTCCTTCTTCCTCTCGCGTATACCTTTATTTATTTATTATTATTATTATTATTTTTTTTTTTAAGGATATTCCGTCACCGCCTAACCGTACGGCGCGCCGCGGCAGCGTAGGTACACGCGGCTGGTATATAATAATAATAATAATAATGGTTGGGCTGCGGCGGGTCCCTATTAGTCTTCTCCGAGAACAAACGGGCAATCGTCGCTCCCGTGTTTGTTTTTCCGTCTCGCTCCTACTGCGCGCACACAGAAATATTCTCTCTCTCACTCTCTCTCACTCGCTCTCGACTTCGATCTCTCTGTACCCGCCGCCGCCGCCGTCGTCTGAAGAGCATTGTTGTTTAGTCTCGAGACGAGCATAAAACAAATACTACTACTACTACTACTACTACTACTACTACTACTTCTATTACTACTAGTAGTTACTAATACTAATAAATATATTCTTCGAGAGTAAAACAATATTATTACGAGTGTATCCACCGCAGATAAATAATATTAATATACTGTGTACGCGTTTAATAATTGTATTCGAACAGCAACGGACAGTGTTACACGTTTGGAAATAAACGAAACTACTCGACGGTCGTACTCGAGATATCGAGAGTAGTATATTTCGGAAAAAAAACCGCCGTTTATTTTATCGCGCGACGTTCGTACATAATCGACACTTCTCTCGCGATCAACAATAATAATTATTGCCGGGCATTGATACCCGCCTACTATTGTTAAAGCGGACGAGATACGGGGGTATTTAAATTCCGCGCGGCGAAACGACGGCGGCGGCCTACAGTGCGAATTACCCGCGGCCGCGGAACACGGACACGACGACGGTTTTCGTCCGTTGTGCGCACGCGGGCGGCCGGTCTAATCTCAAAACGAGAATGACAGAAAAGAGTAGACGGAAAAAAAAAAAAAAAAAACACAAAAATCCCTCCCAAATTTTGTCACGTATATTACTACAATGTCATTATAATACAACTGTACCGCTGCTATACGGTTCTGTGCAATAAAAACACGTGAGGCCCGCCGAGGGGTTTAGAGCGTCGCGCGCGCGTTTGTTTGCGCCTCGCACAACAACAGTACGCTTCGTCGTGTGTGTAATATTATAACAACATAATAACACGGTTCGAGCAGGTAAATAGTTTCGTCGGTTTTGCCTTTTCCGCCGCGGATTATACGCAGCACGTTATACGCGTATTATGTACCGACCGAAAAAAAAATAATAGCCGTTAAGAGTATCGCCGGGTATCGCGTTGTACGTCACCGGTACCGGTGCGCACACAGTGTGGGTAGTGCACGCACGAAAACGCATTTTTTCCTCTTCTTTTAGCCCCCGTTCACGGGTCGGTCCGCGACACGTCCAGTCTCTTGTCTGCTTATTGTTGCGACGAAATCGCGCCACCCGCTCGCGTTCAGCTCGGCGACACGCGCTAGCTACGACAATATCGTACGGCTATTGTAACGGCACGCACAACACGTTTCGCGCAGCCACCTCCGGCAACGGCCATTATCGTGGCGGGTGCGCACCCGTCACGCGAAATATCGCCGTTTTCTCCGGCCGAATAAAAAACGACTAATGTTATTTAATTT